CAAGCAGGACTGGCCTAAGGGGAAATTTTTAGAGGGGTTTTAAAAGCAATTTTAATAATTAATAAGGCCAAATATTTAATATTTTATTTTAACTTTGTTTTAATGATAGTTTTTGGGGTATTTCTGTAGTTGTTTTTATCAGGCTGTCAGCCGCCCTGAGTCCGCAAGGAGAAGGGCGGGGTAAAAATCCAATTAATAATAATAAATAAAATAAATAAATAAATAAGAAATGGAATACCAATTAAGTTAGATAATATTGTTAACTGAGTTTAGTTCAAATAAAAAGTTCTTGCATATGAAATAGCAACTTTTATACTATTGCTCTGTTGCACTGCTTCATACTTATACTGTTGCAGAATTAGTAGAATACATTATAAAACAGAAATAATTGGATTATCTTGTTCCCAGTTCTTATAGAAGTCAAGATATTTTATGTTTTCCCCTAATTTTTTTTCAACATTCACTCATTTAATTTCTTTTAGGCATACAGGAACAAATTAAGGAATGCAGATTCAGAAACAAATAGAAACTTGGTGTTTGTGTTAGTAGCTACTACATAGTAACTCTTACATATTCTGTTTGATGTTGTGGCCTTCCTAAGATCTTGCACAGTGCTCTGAGTAGATTTATGTTTGAACTGTTCATTTTGCCAAGTGCTTTGGAAACCACACAAATTCTTTAGTTTGGTTCACATGTGTATAGAAATCATGTTATGAGGTTCCAAGCTATGCAACAAGAAACCTGTGGCCTACAGCTACTTTTTCACTTTAGTTTCACTCAACTTTCATGAAGCTGAGTATTCAAAAATTCACTTCTCTCTCTATACAACAATTTTTACTGATACAAACAAGGTATGGTTGGCCTCAATGATATTTTGCTAATTTTGAATCTGGTTTGCAGTTCAGTTGCCATTATTCATCAACAGATAACCCACAGTGGCCTTTCTTGTGATAATGAACGTCAGAGGCTAATAAAACTGCAATTAAGACACAAAAATGGGGAGCATAATACAAATGGAGTTTGAATGTTCACAATTTGAATCCATTTTCAATAAGTTCTTTGCTGTAAATAGAAATTAGGAAATCCCCAAATGAGATTTAAAAGAATGTTAAGGATAAGCTTGTCCCCTTTTCCACCATGGATAGATTAATTATTTACACTTTGTCCAGAGTTTTCAAACTCATGAGTACTTCATGAATTTTATATCATATATGAATGTATTCAATTTGATTAGTTAATTGATTGGAACTCGTATGAGCAAATACATTTGTTGTTGCAAAGTCACTTTGTGACTTTAACAAAAGTTCTGATTTCTATCAAAGAATAAAAGTAAATAGTTGTTAATATCTACATTTGATTTTAGCCAAAAGGTTGAGAAGCCTTTCCAGCTTAATAATGTCATTCTGTGTAACAATTGTAGTGTTTCAAAGTTTATTTTGTAAAGAAATTAAAATTTTAATTGAACATAATCTTGACAGCATGAACTTCTACATAAGGCAATATTCCTACTTTGTTTGCTGAAGCTTTAGGAGAGGCACACCCTCAAGGCATGAAGGCCGAGGACCAAGAGGAAGAGACAGTTTTCCTGGACCTGATGATTTTGTGCCAGAAGAAAAATTTGACTCGTCAGAGGAAAATGCAAGGGGAAGAGATCACAGTGGTCGGGGAAGAGGTCGGGGTACTCCAAGAGGTATAGTTCGTGTTCAATTGAAAATAACATATGATATGGTCCACATTATTCTAAGCCTTTTTTGTACTTTGTATTACAGTACTGTGCACTGTAATATCCCATATCTGTTTTTTTTAATGTAGGAGGACGAAAAGGTCTACTTCCCACTCCAGATGAATTTCCTCATTTTGAAAGCCGAATGGATGGAAATCGAGAACCAGGTGAAAATTTTAAATTTGTGCTAGACTTGAGCACTATTGAATACTAGTGTTCATGCACTATTTTCCACTTGCTTGGAAGTAATGCTGCTTTCACATACTTGATTTGAAAGGCAAATGCTATGCTATATCTCTTGCCTCCTTTCACTTACCAGAAGCTAGGCAATCTGCTTAGATCATTCTAAAAAGTTTCTACCTTGCACCTTCAAGTTCTGCTTCAGATTTCCATAAAGAGCTATCAGTCATTTCAGTTTACTTTTAAAAAGTTAAACAATATATTTTATTTCACTCTATCCCTTTTGACATCCAAATAGCTTGCTTTCCCTGTACTTGGAGTCATAAAGACAAGAAATATATTTCACTTTATTGTTTCCCTTATAACTTTTTGAAAGACCAATCATCAATTATAAAAAGTCTTGGGTTTCAGTAATTATAGTTAAACAAGGATCAAGCCTTGGTGCTATTGTTCACGTAGACTCCCCTTACATTTCTGAATGACCTATAGAACTTCTGATAACATTGGCAGCATACCAAAATTCATAAAAAGTGAAAGGGAGCAAATACTTTTTCAAATAATTGTGTGTGTGCATGTGTAATTAAGAGTTGATAATAAATGATATCTAATTGACAGGAATTTAAGGCATGCATCTCTGTCACACTGTCTGGGTTTGGTTTGGTTTTTAATAAAAAAGAGTTTACAGAAAAATTTCTACTATGAAATCATTTACTTGGACTAAATTTCTCACTTCATTGTCTTTTGTCATGATCAGGTCCCCGCCAAGACCATCCTTCTCACGATGGACATTCTCCTGCAAATCGAGAACGTTCTTCCTCACTGCAAGGAATGGATATGGCCTCACTACCACCCCGCAAACGTCCTTGGCATGATGGACCGGGAACCTCTGACCACAGAGAAATGGAAATGCAAGCTGGGCATCCAGAGGAAAGAGGAAAAGGTAAATTACAATTCTTTGAGAGATTGAGTAGTATCGTATATACTAACATATAATATGTGGATAAGCCAACCTTCAAATTCTTAACCAAAATGCCATGAAAATGCACCATCTGCAGATAAACCAACTCTCAAAATTCCCATTGTTTTCATTTTCACTATTGGCTTATTTCAGGTGGTGCATTTTTCATGATATTTTGATTAAAATTTCAGGGTTGACTTATTAGCAAATGTATATGGGATATATGGATACTTTTAAAAAGTATGGTATT